TGATCCACAAGACAGCGTGAGCGGGACAGGAGCCGCAGTGCCTTTTATGACTTAGCCTCTGAAGTCACACACTGTCTCTTGGGCTTTATTTCATTTACTAGAAGTGAGTCACCAAATCCAGCCCCCTTTTCATGAGGAGGGGAATCAGGTTCTACCTCTTGAAAGGAGGAGTATCGGCCAGGCGCGGTGGCTCACGCCTGTAATCCCAGCACTTTGGGAGGCCAAGGTGAATGGATCATGAGGCCAGGAGTTCGAGACCAGTCTGGCCAAGATGGTGAAACCCCATCTCTACTAAAAATACAAAAATTAGCCGGGCGTGGTGGCTCACACTTGTAGTCCCAGCTACTCGGGAGGCTGAGGCAAATTGCTTGAACCTGAGAGGCGGTGAGCCGAGATCGTACCATCGCACTCCAGCCTGGGTGACAGAGCGAGACCCTGCCTCAAAAAAAAAAAAAAAAAAAGAAAAGAAAAAAAAATCCTTTGATCAACATCTCTTCAACACCTTGCCCTTCTAACTACCCTGGACAACCCCACCCTCTCTCACTGCCGAACTATGACTCATGACCTCTGAATTAGCCTGACAGGCCACCCTCTCTCACTGCCAAACTGTGACTCGTGACCTCTGAGTTAGCCCCACAGGCCTAAGTTCTGCTTTCTCTGGACCCCAGTTCTCAACATCAGCACCTCGGTTCAGCTGGCAGCCTCCATGCCTTCGGGATTCCAGCCCGGACAGACTCCAGACCCTACGGCCCCAGTCGCCTACTTCCCATACTTCGACAGGACCTACCTGGGGGTGGCCGCGTCACTCAACGGGGGCAATGTGCTGGCCACGTTCGTCCACATGCTGGTTCAGTGGATGGCAGATCTAGGTAAGGTGGGGTCCACACAGCGCTGTGTTCTCTGCCTGTCCTTTCTACCCGGCAGGGTCTTGGAGCTTCATGTGCGGTTTCAGCGTCCACATTCAGGTCTCAGACCCCACCAGGTCCTGCCATATTTCTCCCATCCTTCGGGATCTGAGCTTGCAGCCTCTTTTCTTCTTGTTCTCTGAGCTGCCATCACCTACTCTTTTCTTTGGGTCAGGCACCCTTCCCTCAACCTTGACTGTGAGCCTTCCTAACAGTCTCCCCAGCTTTCCCCCGCCCTCCCTGCTCCCCCTTTCCCCCTCCTGCTCCCTTCTCTTATTCCTGGGGTAGAATTTATGAGGTTTTCTCTGCTCTCCATAGACAGATGCTCCTCAACTTAAAATGGTGCGTATTTCACTTACAGTGCACTTATATCCTGAGAAGACTGGCCCATAGGAAGTGCGATGCAAACGTTTCTTCTTTTCTTCTTTTTTTTTTTTTGAGATGGCGTCTCACTCTGTCACCCAGGCTGGAGTGCAATAGCGCGATCTTGGCTCACTGCAAGCTCTGCCACCCGGGTTCAAGGGATTCTCCTGACTCAGCCTTCCAAGTAGCTGGGATTACAGGTGCCCGCCACCACGCCTGGCAAGTTTTTGTA